CTTTATTTTTGGCGTTATTCTCTTAGTGACTTCGCTGAGTATTACAATTAATGTCTTAATTTATAACAATCTAGTTCAAATTAATACTATCTTAGTTTTAATAGTATACAAAAACTTTGCTTCAATATAGGTTCATCTCCCCCTTTATGTTGTTATTGTTGCAAATTATATCTTTATACATTATGCCCATCAACACTGATTTATAATTATTTTCTAATGATGTTGTCTTTTAAATCATATAGGGAAAAAAGAGAAATTGCAACCAAAAGTAAAAGTGACTTTTATATGGTGGCACGGTGATTAAAGTGATCGACTGCTAACCGAAAGGTCAGCAGTTCGAAACCACCAGTGACTCTGTAGGAGAAAGATGTGGCAGTCTGCTTCCATAGAGATTTACAGCCTTGGAAACCCTTTGGGGTCGCTATGAGTCAGAATCGACTTGATCGCAGTGTGTTGGATTTTGGGTTATGTTAACATACTTTTGTAAACAGCATTACTGGTGTCCTTTATTCAAGTGAATTTGAGTTACTGTCTAGTGCCCTTTCATTCTAGCTCAAAGGACTTCCTTTAGCATTTCTTGTAGGATAGGTCTTCTAGGGACAAAGTCTCTTAGTTTTTGTTTATTTGGAAAAGTTTTAATTTCTTCTTCATTTATGAAGGGTCGTTTTGCTGGATATAGGATTGCTGGTTAGCAGTTTTTTTTCTTCCAGCACTTTGAATATATCATTCCACTGTCTTCTGGCCATTACGGTTTCTGATGAGAAATCAGCCATTAATCCTACTGAGGAGCCCTTGAATGTGACCAGTTGCTTCTCCCTTGCTGCTTTCAAGATTCTCTTACTGTCTTTGTCTTTCAACAGTTTGATTATCATGTGTTTTGGTGTGGATCTCTTTAAGTTTACCGTGGGTTTGTTAAGCTTGTTAGATGTGTAAATTTATGTTTTTCATCAAATTCAAGAACTATTTGGCCATTAATGTCTAAATACTCTCTCTGTCCCCCTTTCTTCTGTGATTCCCATTATGTGTGTATTGGTATGCTTAATGATGTCCTACAGGTCTTAGGCTCTGTTTATTTTTCTTTATGATTTTCCCCCCCTTCTATTCAGACTGGACAATCTCAATTGACCTGTCTTCAAGTTTGGTGAGTCTCTCTTCTGGCTGTTCATCTGTACTGTTGATTCCCTCTAGTAAATTTTTCATTTCAGGTATTGCGGTTTTCAAATCCTGGATTTAATTGGTTCTTTTAAATAATTTCTATCTTGTTATTGATACTCTCTATTTGGTGAGACATTGTTCTCATGGTTTCATTTAGTCTTTTGTACAAGGTTTTCTCTACCTCTCAGAATTTATTTAAAATAGTTAAAGTTACTTTCTGAGCTTTTTCAGAGACAGTTTTTGTTAATGTTTTTCACCTATGTATGGAAATCCTGGTGGCACAGTGGTTAAGATCTACAGCTGTTAACCAGAAGGTCGGCAGTTTGAATCCACTAGGCGCTCCTTGGAAACTATGGGGCAGTTCTCCTCTGTCCTGTAGGGTCGCTATGAGTCGGAATTGACTTGATGGCAACAAGTTTGGTTTGTTTTTTTGAGTATGAGCCATACTTTCTTGTTTCTTTGCATGCCTCATAATTTTTGTTAAAAACTGGACATTTTGAATAGTGTAATGTAGAACTTCTGGAGATTCTCTTCCCCTGCTATGGTTTGTTGTTGCTGCTTGTTGTAGTTGTTTGGTGACTTTTCTGAACTAATTTTGTTAGGTCTGTATTCTGTCTCTGTTCTGTAAACTTAGTTGTCAACTAGTTATTTGACAGAGATTTCCTTCAAAGCATGGAACAACAACAATAAGAATCTGCTAGAATTGACTCGATGACATCAGGTTAGTCTTTGCAGGGGAGTCTGTGTATCTTGGGGCATGTCTTTAACACTTACCTGGGAAGTTTAAACTCTGCTTTAGCCTTCACTTCCTGCTTATGAATAACCTGAAGGTCAGTCAGGAGTGCAAGCTTAGGGCCTTCTCAGGTCTTTTCTGGATGTGTGTATAGGCCTTCTAGATTCCCAGGAATATGTGAGTGCCTTTCAAAGTCCTTGTTCCTCAAATGTTCTCATTCCCCAGTTCTTCCTTTGAAGCTCTTTGGTTAGTCTATTATTCGACCTAGCTGTTAACCCCTTGTTGTCATCACCGAAAAAACCAAACCAGTTGCTGTCAAGTCATTTCCGACTCATAGTCACAGCAGTTAATAAATTTGCCTTTAAGTGTTTTTGACAAATGCCTTCAGGTAGTTGCTTCAGCCCTGGGAAGAGTCCTGGGTTAGGCAAAATAAAGGCAAGCCCTTTGAGCTGGTCCTTGAGGGACCCACCAGAAAGGTGAAAAACACAACCACAGTTCATTCAGAATAAGATCCATTCTGCTCCCTCCAGTGCTAGGAACCTGTACCAGGAATGTTGGCTGGGCTTGGGAGTGGGGGATGGGGCTAGGGTAAGTTAAAATACAGCAAGTCCCTGGATTAGGAACATCGATTTATGGACAACTCTGTACTTGCCCATTAATGTTGTGTAAATTTGCCCTCACTTTGAAACGATTGAACCAACCCCTCCTCACAACAAATTCTTCATCACAACCACCTTCACTTGTTGCACGTGCAGATTTTAAATCATTGAAAAGACTTCAAGCCTTTTCTTGCGCTAAAGTGCGGCTAAATAAGAACTGTATGCACCTGTTCCAACTTACCTGCAAATTTGACTTAAAGACACACTTAGGAACTGATCTCATTCATAACCTGGGGACTGCCTGTACTACAGACCTCTCTTACTGAGATTCAGCTGTTCTTTCTTCATTCAGTATTCACCTGGTTGCAATAAAGTTTTCATTTCTAGAATTTTGATAAAATTGATTCTATGAGTTTTTGCAAGTTTGTTTTACTTTTATGGAGGGACAGAATTTAGATTCCCCTACTTAACAATTTTTGCTGATGTCATTCCTCCTTGGGAGCTTTTATAAAAAAGAGATCTGGGCACCACCCCAGAATGATTAAAGTAGTGAGACCTGGGCGTTGGTAATTTTTTTAGGGCCGCTATGAGTTAGGGTTGCTCTGAGTTGAAATCGACTTGATGGCAGTGGGTTTTTTTTTTTTTTAATTGAAAAGTATTTCATATACTATAAAATTCACCCATTTTAAGTGTACAATTGTTTTGTTTTTAGTATATTCACAGAGTTGTACAAGTATTACCACTACATCATTTTAGAACATCTTCATAGCCCCCCAAAAACCCTGAACCTGTTAGCAGTCATTTTTCATTTTAAATAATCTTTCAGGTAATCTTCAATGTGTATTCAAGATTGAGAAACAGTACAAAACGGTACAACCATTTTGGAAAACAATATGGCACTTCCTTAGAAGGCTAGAAATAGAAATACCATATGATCCAGCAATCCCAATCCCACTCCTAGGAATATGTCCTGGAGAAATGAGAGCCATCAAACGAATAGACATATGCACACCCATGTTCACTGCAGCGTTGTTCACAGTGTCAAAAAGGTGGAAACATCCTAGATGCCCATCAACAGACAAATGGATAAACAAACTATGGTACATACACACAATGGAGTACTACGCAACGATGAAGAAGAGTAATGGATCTGTGAAGCATCTCACAACATGGATGAATCTGGAGGGTATTATGCTGAGTGAAGTAAATCAATCACAAAAGGACAAATACTGCATGAGACCACTACTATAAAAAGTCATGAAAAGGTTTACACACAAAAAGAATCTATGATGGTTACGAGGGAGGGAAGGTGTGGGGATGGAAAAACACTAGACAATAGATAAGTGATAACTTTGGTAAAGGGTAAGACAGTACACAATACTCGGGAAGCTAGCACAGCTTGTCCAAGGCAAGGTCATGGAAGCTCCATAGACGCATGCAAACTCCCTTAGGGACCAAATTGCTGGGTTGAGGGCTGTGGGGACCATGGTCTCAGGGAACATCTAGTTCAATTGGCATAACATAGTTTATCAAGAAAATGTTCTACATTCTACTTTGGTGAGTAGCATCTGAGGTCTTAAAAGCTTGTGAGTGACCATCTAAGATACTTCACTGACGTCACCCTGTCTGGAGCAAGGGAGAATGAAGAAAACCAAAGACACAAGGGAAAGATCAGTCCAAAGGACTAATGGACCACAACTACCACAGCCTTCACCAGACTCAGTCCAGCACAACTAGATGGTGCCTGGCTACCACCACTGACTGCTCTGACAAGGATCAATAGAGTGTTTCAGACAGCTAGAGAAAAATGTAGAATAAAATTCTAACTCACAAAAAAAGACGAGACTTACTGACCTGATAGAGACTAGAGAAACCCTGAGAGTGTGGCCCCGGGACATGCTTTTAGCTCAGTAATGAAGTCACTTCTGAGGTTTATCCTTCAGCCAAAGATTAGACAGGCCCATAAAACAAAACGAGACTAAAGGGGCACACCAGCCCAGGGGAAAGACTGGAAGGCAGGAAGGGACAGGAAGGCTGGCAATAGGGAACCCAAGGTTGAGAAGGGGGATGGTTGACATGTCGTGGGGTTGGTAACCAATGTCACAAAACAATATGTGTACTAATTGTTTAATGAGAAGCTAGTTTGTTCTGTAAACCTTCATCTAAAGTACAATAATAATAATTTTAAAAAAAGATTGAGAACTAGAAGTCTAAGTTATTGTATAAGAATTTAGGGTAAATGATTGTGTTATTGTATATCCTAAATTTTGGATAAACTATTATGTTATTGCTCTTCAGATTTCACCATAGAGATGATATATGTGTTGTATATGTATATGTGTGTTTTTTTTTTTTTATTCTACAGAAAAAATAGACTTTTTAATGAATAGTAGACAAGTTCAGAAATCTGGTTTTACTTTTGATTAGATAGGTATCTTTTTCTTTTACATGATTAAATTAAATAGCATATAGAAAACTTCTACTTTGAATAAAAATTTGTCTTTGTATTTCAGAGAAAAGGATGCCACGGAGAAAGAAAAAAGTTAAGGAAGCCTCTGAATCTCAGAGTTTGGCGAAGAAGGATGCAGAAACCAGCACTTCTGTCAGTTTGAAGAGGAAGCGTAAATTTGAGGATGCATTCATTGTGATATCTGACAGTGACGGAGAGGTCAGTATTCTGAAGAGTGGAGCTCTAGGTCTCAAATGAGGCCTCCTTATCCATGCATGCTTTGTTTTGGGACTGTACCTTAGTGGCAGCTTGCCAGACCCTGCATTTTCTACTCAGCTTGGTTTTGATTTGTAAATGGAATTAATAATTACTTCAAAGAATGTAATCATACCATTTGAGGATGGATCATAATTGTTCAGTTTTGTAATATACTAATCTGGGTGATGTTTTTAAACTACTTGAATAATTTAAATCAAATGTAAAACTTAATTTGTGTGTATCAGAAAACAGACGGAAGACAATGTAAATCAGCTTTAAGTCTTTAGCCCTGCTCTGTCCAATATGGTAGCAACTAGTCATATGTGGCTATTTTAATTAGTTAAAAATAAATAAAATTAAAACCTGGTTTCTCTGTGCACCAGTCACACTGCATGTACTCAGTAGCCACATGAGGCTAGTGTCTAATGCGTTGGATAGCACAGCTATAGAACATTTCCATCATTGCAGGAAGTTTTATTGGTCAGCACTGCTCTATATCTTAACTTCTCTCCATTATTCCCTATTTCCATTTGTTTATTGGAGTTTTCCATGTGGCTGTAGGTCACATCCAACAGGCAATAAACTAACACATTGTTTCCTCCAAATTTCTGTCTCTTCCTTCTGTGTCTTCTATCGCATTTAATGATGGAACACTCATTTGCCTCAAGCTAGAAAGCTCAGAATTATTTTTGAAAATTTTCCTCACTCTCATCTTTCACACGTAATTGGTCATCACATCCCCTAGTTTTTACCTCTTCAATGACACTCAGATGTATTCCTTCCTCTTCCATTTTCATTTGGAAATAAAATATCAATGTGATATTTTGGTTCTTGCAACAGCCTTTGGACTGGCGTCTCTACCTTCATATATATATTTTTTACCTTTATATTTCACTTAGCTTACTCTGACTTTCTTTTAAGAGTTCAGAGTTTGGTTCTTTGCAGTTGACTGCGTAACATTTTTTAGCTCCATAATCCCTGCAAGATCCTTTTAGAATTTTTAACATGGTCTTCTCTATAAGAACCTTGTCCTCCCTCTCTTGGTAAGGATCTCCTGTTTCCTGTAGCCTGTATTTTCCTCTTACTTTGATGGAGCACATCCTTTTGTAGCTTCTTGAGAAAAGATGAATGAGAGGTAAATGTTTGACACCTTACACGTCTGAAAATGTCTACTTCTGTCCTCCCAATTGATTAGTAGTTTATAGATAGCAAATAATTTTCCTTTTTAATTTTGAAGGTATTGCTTTATTGTCTTATTGCTGTATTGCTGTTATTGAGAAGTCCAAAGCCATTCTAAATCTTTGTCCTTGGCATGTTTCCCCCATCCCCAGCCCAGAGGTTTGTAAAATCATCTTTTAGTCCGATTTCTGTGAAATCTCAAACTAGGCCTCCTATCTTGTTACAGATCTATTTTCATCTATTGTGCTGGGTACTCAGTGGCCCTTTCAGTGTGTAGTGCATGTACTAATTTTGAAAATTTTCTTGAATTATTTCTTTGATAATTTCTTCTCTACTTTTTTCTTTTTCTGGAACTTTTATTATTTGGTTGTTGGATCTCCTGGACTGATTCTCTTATTTTCATCTTTTGTCTTCTCTTTTCTGTCTCCTTGTTTTTTGTCTACTTTCTGGGAGATTTTCTCAATATTATCTTCCATGTTTTCTATGAAAATTTTCATTTCTACCATCATGTTTTTAATACCCAAGAATTGTCTTTTGTTTTTCGAATATTTCTTTTTAAACATAGCATCCTGCCATTTTATGGATGCAATAACTTTTCTTATCTCTCCAGTGTGCTGATAGTTTTGAGTTTCTTTCTTTTGCACATAATCTGTTTCTTCTGAGTTGCTTCATTTTGTTTGCTGCTTTTCTTTGTTCGTTTATTTTGATTTCTGCTTTCATGTTAGATATATTTCTCAGATATCTGTTAATTTTTTGTTTGCTTATAATTAAAATTGAGGAACTAAAAAAGATTGCTATCTCTGAGGATATGAATGGGGCTAGTCAATTTTGGGAGCCCTAGTGGCGCAGTAGTTAAGATCTTGGCTGCTAACCAAAAGGTTGGCAGTTTGAATCCACCAGCCACTCCTTCAGAACGCTATGGGGCAGTTCTACTCTGTCCTGTAGGGTTGCTATAAGTTGGAATCGACTCGATGGCAACGTGTTAGTTTTTTTTCTTTAGTCAATTTTGAGCTTTGATATAGGGCAGTAGTTCTCAACTGGGGTGATCTGTTGCCAGGGATGTTTTGCAGTATTAAGAGATATTTTTTGGTTTTCACATCTGGGGAGGGGAGTGCTACTGGCATTTTCTGGTGGATAGAGGCCAGAATTCTTTTTTTTTCTTTTTTTTTACAGAATGTAAATTTTGCTTAATAATAAAGATAGTCCAAGACTGCATATTAAATCATATAATTTAAGTATGGAAGAAATGTTGTCTAACCTTCAGTTTACAGATGTGTAGTTTGAGATTCCAAGAAGTTAGGTGTTTTTTTTTTTTTTTT